CACACAACAGCTCCACACAGCAGCTCCACACAGCAGCTCCACACAGCTTCACACACAGCTCCACACAGCAGCTCCACACAGCTTCACACAGCAGCTCCACACAGCAGCTCCACACAGCAGCTCCACACAGCTCCACACAGCAGCTCCACACAGCAGCTCCACACAGCTTCACACAACTCCACACAGCAGCTCCACACAGCTTCACACACAGCTCCACACAGCAGCTCCACACAGCTTCACACAGCAGCTCCACACAGCAGCTCCACACAGCAGCTCCACACAGCAGCTCCACACAGCAGCTCCACACAGCTTCACACAACTCCACACAGCAGCTCCACACAGCTTCACACACAGCTCCACACAGCTCCACACAGCTTCACACAGCAGCTCCACACACAGCTCCACACAGCTTCACACACAGCTTCACACAACAGCTCCACACAGCAGCTCCACACAGCAGTTCCACACAGCTCCACACAGCTTCACACAGCTCCACACAACAGCTCCACACAACAGCTCCACACAGCATCTCCACACAGCAGCTCCACACAGCAGCTCCACACAACAGCTCCACACAGCAGCTCCACACAGCTTCACACAGCTCCACACAGCTTCACACAGCAGCTCCACACAGCAGCTCCACACAACAGCTCCACACAGCAGCTCCACACAGCAGCTCCACACAGCAGCTCCACACAGCTTCACACAGCAGCTCCACACAGCAGCTCCACACAGCTTCACACAGCTCCACACAACAGCTCCACACAACAGCTCCACACAGCAGCTCCACACAGCTTCACACAGCTCCACACAGCAGCTCCACACAGCAGCTCCACACAGCTTCACACAGCTCCACACAGCAGTTCCACACAGCTCCACACAGCTCCACACAGCAGCTCCACACAGCTCCACACAGCTTCACACAGCTCCACACAACAGCTCCACACAACAGTTCCACACAGCAGCTCCACACAGCAGCTCCACACAGCAGCTCCACACAGCTTCACACAGCAGCTCCACACAGCAGCCCCACACAGCAGCTCCACACAGCAGCTCCAGACAGCTTTACACAGCTCCACACAACAGCTCCACACAGCAGCTCCACACAGCTTCACACAGCTCCACACAGCAGCTCCACACAGCTCCACCCAGCTCCACACAGCAGCTCCACACAGCTCCACACAGCTTCACACAGCTCCACACAACAGCTCCACACAACAGCTCCACACAGCATCTCCACACAGCAGCTCCACACAGCAGCTCCACACAACAGCTCCACACAGCAGCTCCACACAGCAGCTCCACACAGCAGCTCCACACAACAGCTCCACACAGCAGCTCCACACAACAGCTCCACACAACAGCTCCACACAGCAGCTTCACACAGCTTCACACAGCTCCACACAGCTCCACACAGCAGCTCCACACAGCAGCTCCACACAGCAGCTCCACACAGCTTCACACACAGCTCCACACACAGCTTCACACACAGCTCCACACAGCTTCACACAGCTCCACACAGCAGCTCCACACAGCAGCTCCACACAGCTCCACACAGCTCCACACAGCTCCACACAGCTCCACACAACAGCTCCACACAGCAGTTCCACACAACAGCTCCACACAGCAGTTCCACACAACAGCTCCACACAGCAGCTCCACACAGCAGCTCCACACAGCAGCTTCACACAGCAGCTCCACACAGCAGCTCCACACAGCAGCTCCACACAGCAGCTCCACACAGTAGCTCCACACAGCAGCTCCACACAGCAGCTTCACACAGTAGCTCCACACAGCAGCTCCACACAGCAGCTCCACACAGCAGCTCCACACAGCAGCTCCACACAGCAGCTCCACACAGCGGCTCCACACAGCTTCACACAGCTCCACACAGCTCCACACATGCGACTGTCACCCTGCAGCGCTTTGAATTCTGCGATGCCACAACCACTACCGGCACCAGAACTCTTTCAGAGCCCCCCCCACACACACAAAGACAAAGGTGCCCCGTATAGCCTTAACAGACTGTAGGGACAAGTGCTGTTAGCGAGCTGCACCTATGAAGGCCGGCACTGCACACGAGGGGGTGGGTGGCCAGCACCACGCCCGGCCGCCTTTGTCTCCCCAGTGGCCATGTTTACTATACACCACCGCACCAGGAACTCGTGTTGAGGTTGAGTCGACCTAGGGGAGACGCAAGACCGGCTCAGATAGCTCAACTGCCACTAATGTTAGCAGTGGCCGGCAATGAAACCGAGATGACATTCCACGTTCCCATGCCGGGGAATAGTCTATCCATCGGGCGACTTGTGTTGACTTGGTCATAATCTGAACTTATTACATTTCTATTGCGTGTCCACATGCCTATGGAAGGGGTCAAGTCTGTCCAAATGAGGGTGACCATCATTCAGTGAGTGAGTTTAGTGAAGGCCTGAGAGAATGAGTTCAGTTATGATCAGATTATGTAACTATTCATTGAATGAGTGAATGTCGAAATAAGTTAATAATTGGACGAGTGAGTGAAGGAATGATTAACGGGATTATGATTTAATACATGAATGAGTCGTGCATTAATTATTTAAGGAATGACCAAATAAACCAATGAGTGGATAAGTGAATGGTTATGGGAATTAGTGTGTGAGCGAGTGCGTGCGTGAGTGAATGAGTACATTAATGTGAGTGTAAATATATGAATGAGTCGTGAATGACAAATGTAATGAATGACCAAATCAATGAGTGTATAAGTGAATGGTTATGAGAACGAGTGTGAGAGCGAGTGATGTGATGAATGAATGCATGCGCGAATGGATGAGTGCATGTCTGAGCTGATTGTGAGTCAGCGAATAATCTTGGGTGAATTCACAAATGATTGAATTAAGTGAGTTAATACAAAAGTGAATCATCTAAGAAATTAACATATGAATAAGCGAATGAGCGGTTGAATAGTTTAATCAGGAGTGAGTCAATACGTGACTGAATGAGGTTTTGACACGTGTGAGTAAATGGATTAGTCATAGCGTGAATGAACGAGTTTGTAATTAAATAACGAGTTAAGTGATTAAGTTCATAAGTGAGTGAGGCAGTGAATACGTGATTGTGTGAATGAACGAGTAAGCGAATCAGTGAGTAAATGACGTCAATGAATGAGCATGTGATTATGTAAATGAATGAGCATGTGATGACGTAAAATGAATGAGCATGTGATGACGTAAATTAATGAGCATGTGATGACGTAAATGAATGAGCATGTGATGACGTAAATGGGAGCGTGCATGAATGAACAAACGAATGGATGAGTAGTTGAACGAACACGGGAACAAGGTGATTATTAGGTCAGTTAATCCATGAATGAATGAATGAGAAAGTGAAAGAGAGTGTGAATGAATCGTTGAAACGTTACTTAATGAGTGAGCGAGTAAGCGAATGAAGGAATAATTGAATGAGCAAGGGATTAAATGAGTGATTTAGTGACTGCGTAAACGAACGAGGGATTGGATGAGTGAATGAGTAAGAGAATGAGTGAGGGAATAAGTAAATGAACGAGTCAGTTAATGTGTGAACGAATGAGTAAGCCGATGAACAAATGAATGAAAGAAAGAGTGAAATAGCAAGGGAATGAGTAAGCCAATTATCAAATGAGTAAGCTAATGAACGAGTGATTTAATTAGTGTGTGGGTCAATGCATTTGTAGATGAAATAATGAAATGAGTAGGCCAGTGAGTGAGTAAATGGGTGAGCGGAATAGTGAATAATAAGGTATGGAACTAGTAAGCTGATGAGTGAGACGATAAAGGAAATTACATGAATGAGTGACTGAATAAGTGGATGAATTTGTACGTTAAAGACTGAGTCATAGGTGAGTGAACGAGTACGCAAGTGAGTGAATGTATAAATGAATGATTTATTTAATAACCAAATAATTGAGTGAATGAATGAGTCACTGAATCAGTGAATATGTGAATTCATGAGTTACGGGTGAACGAAGGAGTCAGCTAATGAGTAAGTGAATGTATAAACGAATGAGTGATTTAATAACTGAACGATTGAGTGAATGAATGAGTGACTGAATCAATGGATATGTGAATTCTTGACTCACGGGTGAGAGAACGAGTCAGCTAATGAGTAAGTCAATGTATAAATGCATGAGTTATTTAATAACCGAATGATTGAGTGAATGAATGAGTGACTGAATCGGTGAATGTGTGAATTCGTGAGTCACGGGTGGGTAAATGAATCACCTAATGAATGAGCGAGTGCTTGAGTGAATGCCCAAACAAATTAGCGATGTAAAAAGTGCGATCAATTGGTGAACGCAAGAGTGAATGAATGAGTGAATGGACAATTGAGTGAATGAGTCAGTGAATCAGTAAATGTGTGAACGAGTGAGCGAGCGCTTGAGTGAGTGGATGCGCGGACGAATGAGCGATGTAGCAAGTGCGATCAACGGGTGAACGCGAGAGTGAATGATCGAGCGAGTGAATGAGTGAATGAACGAGTGAGTGAATGAGTGAATGAACGAGTGAGTGAATGGACGAGTGAGTGAATGAGTGAATGGACGAGTGAGTGAATGAGTGAATGAACGAGTGAGTGAATGAGTGAATGAACGAGCGAGTGAATGAGTGAATGGACGAGCGAGTGAATGAGTGAATGGACGAGTGAGTGAATGAGTGAATGGACGAGCGAATGAATGAGTGAATGGACGAGTGAGTGAATGAGTGAATGGACGAGTGAGTGAATGAGTGAATGGACGAGTGAGTGAATGAGTGAATGGACGAGTGAGTGAATGAGTGAATGGACGAGTGAGTGAATGAGTGAATGGACGAGTGAGTGAATGAGTGAATGGACGAGTGAGTGAATGAGTGAATGGACGAGTGAGTGAGTGAATGGACGAGTGAGTTAATGAGTGAATGGACGAGTGAGTGAGTGAATGAGTGATGAGTGAGTGAGTGAATGGACGAGTGAGTGAGTGAGTGAATGAGGACGCACACCGTCACCCTCACCATCCCCACTCGTCCCAGCAGCGCCGCCCACCACAGCGCCGCGCGCAGCATTGCACCGCCCGGGGTGACCCGAGGGGTCTCCTGGGACCCCGCTCCTAGGACCCCGCTCCTGGGGGTCCAGGCTGTAGCGCTGCGTCGTCTTCCTCTGGCTCAGCGTTCCGCCGTCTCGAGGGGGTCCCCGTTCCAAGGTCTGGGGCCTCGGGGTGCGGAGTTTAGTTTTGGGATCCAGCTCTGGGGGGGTCTGGGGTTCGGCTCAGCGGGTTCCAGAGTCCGGCCAGGGGGGGGGGGGGGGGGGTCTGGGGTGGCTGCGGGGGTCCCGGAATTCGACAAATCCCCGGCGCGTTGTCACTCAGACAAAGTCCCCGTCTCTGGGCGCTGTCCGTGGTGCTGATCTTGGGTTCCTGTGAAGGTGTTGGTGGTCCTGCTTCGCCGGTCTTTGGTGTCTTGGGCCCAGGTTCTAGGCCCCTGGTTCAGAACCGGCACCCGCTCTGCGGACCGCATTCCTTGCCTGTACCCATGGTTCTAGGTCGGGTTCGGCTGGGTCCGGTCCAGGCGCGATTGGGTCCGGTTCAGGGTTCCAGTCGGGTTCAGTCCCGGTTCGGTTGGATCTGGTTGGGGTACGCTTCGGGTCCGCTTGGGTCCAGTCCAGGCGCGGTTGGGTCCGGTTCAGGTTCGGTTGGGTCTGGTTGGGTCAGGTTGAGTCCGGTTGAGTCCGGTTGGGTCCGGTTGGGTGCGGTCCAGGTCCGGTTAGGCCCGGTCCGGGTCTGGTCTGGGTCCGGCTCGGTTGGGTTCGGAGTCGAACCTGGGACGGGCAGTCTGGGGTCGGATGGACCGAGGGTCGCCCGCTGTCACCACGCGCTCGTTGCAGAAGAGATCTTGCGGATGATGATGATGATGGTGACGCTGATGATGATGGTGGCGCGTGAGTGTGGTGATGACAATGGTAGATGCGAGTGAATCGATACAAGGTGATAGAGAGACGAGGTGATGGGTGGGTGGAGAGAGACGAGGTGACAGAGAGACGAGGTGATGGAGAAACGATGTGATGGGTGGGTGATGAGAAACGAGGTGATAGAGAGACGAGGTGATGGGTGGGTGATGAGAGACGAGGTGATAGAGAGACGAGGTGATGGGTGGGTGGAGAAAGACGAGGTGATGAGAAACGAGGTGATAGAGAGACGAGGTGATGGGTGAGTGATGAGAGACCAGGTGATAGAGAGACGAGTTGATAGAGAGACGAGGTGATGGGTGGGTGATGAGAGACGAGGTGATCGAGAGACGAGGTGTTAGAGAGACGAGGTGGTGCTTGAAAAGCGAGTGAGCGCACGAGCGCACGGACACACTGAGAGATACACACACAGAGACGCACACACACACACACAGAGACGCACACACACACACACAGAGACGCACACACACACAGACGTACACACACACAGAGACGCACACACACACAGACGTACACACATACAGAGACGCACACACACACACAGAGAGACGCACACACACACACAATATGCACACACACACAGACGCGCACACACACAGAGACGCACACACACACAGAGACACACACACAGAGAGACGCACACACACACAGAGACACACACACACAGAGACGCACACACACACACAGACGCACACACACACAGAGAGGAGAGAGAGAGGAGTGAGGCTCCTCACTCGCGTGCCGTCTCTGCCCTCTCTCTTCTCTCTTCGCGACCCTCCACTAACATCTCTCAAACCTCGCACACCAAAGTTGACTCACACACAAACGCACACACACACACAGAGAGACGCACACACACAGACACAGACACACACACAGACACACACACAGACACACACACACACAGACACACACACAGACACACAGACACACACACAGACACACAGACACACACACAGACACACACACACAGACACACACACAGACACACACACACACACACAGACACACACACACACAGACACACACACAGAGACACACACACAGACACACACACAGACACACACAGACACACACACACACAGACACACACACACAGAGACACACACACACAGAGACACACACAGACACACACACACAGACACACACACACAGAGACACACACACAGACACACACACACACACAGACACACACACACACACAGACACACACACACACAGACACACACACAGACACACACACACAGACACACACACACAGACACACACACAGAGACACACACACAGACACACACACACAGACACACACACAGACACACACACAGACACACACACAGACACACACACACAGACACACACACAGACACACACACACAGACACACACACAGACACACACACACACACAGACACACACACACAGAGACACACACACACACACAGGATCGTGTTTACAAGCGCACAGGCCGGGCTGCTGTCTGTGAGGCTCCCTGCGCTCTGTGTTGACGCGCGGAGTGCGATCGGTGGTGGGACGACGATCGGTGGTGGGACGACGATCGGTGGTGGGACGACGATCGGTGGTGGGACGACGCTGAAGACACTCGGCACGAACTGAGTGCCACTCGCGAATGAATCCGCGGAGGAGAGAGGAGGAGGGGGGTGCAGGGCATGGGGAGAGAAGGGAGGAGGTGGTGGTGGGGGGATGAGAGGGGTGGGGGGCGGGAGGAAGACCCCCCCAGCGTTTGTCAAGAAACCAACAGACGAGCAGATGCACACGCACAAAGACAAAGATTCCCCGTGGAGGCATAACACCAACATCATCATCATCAACATCATCAACATCATCACCACCATCACCAGAAGGATGATCAACCATCACCACCGTCATCAGACGCATCATCACCATCACCACCACCACGACCCCCATCACCGCCACCAGAAGGATCATCACCACCACCAGATATCCCCCGTGAAGCCTTTAACAGACGTTTTGGGGAAAATGCTGTTAGCGAGCACCTATGAAGACCGCCAAAACCACGCCCGACCGCCTTTGTCTCCCCATTGGCGATGTTTACTCACTGCACCAGCCTCACTGATTTGAGGCTGAGTCGACCTATGGGCAGGGCCAGGACAGGTTCACGTGCTCGTCAGCGGTGTTGGCCCTGAGCGGGAATCGAATTCGGGTGGTTAGGTTCGTGGCGCTGCGCGCTAACCGCTGCGCCACCGCTCCCCAAAGACAAAGACACAAGCACCCCGTATAGCCTAGAACAGACTGTTGGGGCAAGTGCTGTGAGCGAGCACCACCTATGAAGGCCAGGACGGCACACGAGGGGGTGGGTGGCCAGCACCACGCCCGGCCGCCTTTGTCTCCCCAGTGGCGATATTTACACACCGCACCCAGGTACTCATTTGAGGCTGAGTCGACCTAGGAGAGGCCCAGGACCTTGCTCAGATAATCGTCACTGGAGTGGGCCGTGAGCGGGAATCTGGTTCGTGTCGCAGCGTACTCACCACTGCACTGCCTCTCCCCGCCCACAGACGCACAGAGACGCATAGAGACACGCACAGAGACACGCACAGAGACACAAAGACAAAGGTCCCCCGTAAAGACTGTAACAGACTGCTGGGGCAAGTGCTGTTAGCGAGTAGCACCTATGAAGACCGGCACGGCACATGAGGGTGTGGGTGGCCAGCACCACGCACTACCGCCGTTGAGAGACACGAACACTGAGACACACAGAGACACGCACACAGAGACACGCAGAGACACGCACAGAGAGACACGCACACAGAGACACGCATACAGAGACACACAGAGCCAATGCACACAGAGACATACACAGAGCCACGCACACAGAGACACACGGAGACACGCACACAGAGACGCGCACAAAGACACGCGCACACAGAGACACGCACAGAGACACGCAGAGACACGCGCACAGAGACACAAGGAGACACGCACACAGAGACACGCAGAGCCACGCACACAGAGACACACGGAGACACGCACACAGAGACACGCACACAGAGACGCGTACAAAGAGACGCGCACTCAGAGACACGCACACAGAGACAAGCAGAGCCACGCACACAGAGACACGCAGAGACACGCGCACAGAGACACACGGAGACACGCACACAGAGACACACAGAGACACGCAGAGACACGCGCACAGAGACACACGGAGACACGCACAAAGAGACGCGCACACAGAGACACGCACACAGAGACACGCAGAGCCACGCATACAGAGACACATGGAGACACGCAGAGACACGCGCACAGAGACACATGGAAACACGCACACAGAGACAGATGCACACACACGCACAGTTAAACCCCGCATTTGTCAGATGATATTAAAAAAAAAGTAAATTAATGTAAACAAATAGTTTAATGTAATAGTATGTAACAATGCACATATTATATACTTTAGCAAACACATTGTCATGCATAATGTATACAAAATACGCGCTTTAATATGTTACGTTGCGCATGATGTATATGAAGGATGTGCGTGGGTAATGTGAATTAAAAACGTGCTTGGGACAATACGTTAGGGGTGGGGGTGGGGGAGGGGTGGAGGGGGGTGGGGTGAGAGGGGAGGGGTGAGAGGGGAGGGGGGGAGGGATTGGGGGGAGGGGTTATAGGGGAGGGGTGGGGTGGAGGGGGAGGGGGGAGGGGTGGAGGGGGATGGGGTGATAGGGGAGGGGTGGAGGTGGTTGGGGGGAGGGTTGGGAGAGGAGGGATTGGGGGGAGGGGTGATAGGGGAGGGGTGGAGGTGGATGGGGGGAGGGATTGGGGGGAGGGGTGATGGGGGGGACCGGCTCCCCGTGAGTATTGCACAGCACGTGACCCACGACGACTCTGGTATTTGTTGGTCTGGACAATAACACACACGCACAGAGTGGTGTTGTTGTTGTCACACACACAGACTCACACACACTCAACAACAACCGCCATTCGCCACTAAGTGGCGGTGACGTCACCACGACGACGCTTGTGCCAGGCCATGTGCACCTTGAGGCCACGTGAAGTGTCGAACGCCCGCTGGCAGGAGGTCACGGGGCAGACCCAGGTGCTACGGGTCGACTGACTGAGATGACTGGCTGATGCACCACCTGTGCCCCCTACTGTGCCAACCCGCTGTGCTTTATCCACCCGGCGCTCCGCTCGTTGTTGTGAGCGTCGCTCCTCCGCCCTCCGTTGTTGTTGGAGGGCGACTGCCTCCAACTGCCCAGTAGCCTCAAGGTGCACCTAGCGTGGCACCGCCCCCAGTAGCCTCAAGGTGCACTTAGCCTGGCACTGCCCAGTAGCCTCAAGGTGCACCTAGCCTGGCACT